ATATTTCAAAAGTTCTATTTGCCAGTCAAATTATTTTTTAGCTCAAACACACTGTTTCATAGATAAATAAGGTTTCCTACACTATACTTCATAATTCCATAAATTAGTAAGTAGTCTCAGCAGGATCATATTTTGACAGTAGAAATTTGCTATCTGCATAAAGATTATTTTATTATTATAAAAACTAGTCAAAATGGAAATATAAATGGAATAAAAATAGCAATATTTCATCAATTTAAATTTATGTGTGTTATGAAAAAGTAAAAACACTATTTGAGTCCTCTGGTTTTATTATTAAAATAATCAAAAGAGGCAATTTTGGATTCATTCTTTAGCACACACAAAAAAAAACTCTTTTCAAATTACAGTCCACTCACTGTTCATGTACTTCCCTGGTACCATTTTTTTTGGGTTTTTTTTTAAGCTTTTATTGTGAATTGAGTGAATGTCTACAGTGCAGACCATCAGTTTTACATTCAACACATCATTTTAATGATTACAATCCCCTCCGAGCACCATCAGCCAACAGTATATTTTGCTGTTGTTTTTGTACACATACTACATAGAAAATATATATTCATTTAAATGTCCAAAGGGCACATTTTGCAAGGCAGCCTAATGCCCACAGGCATACTGCTTTTCTCAGTCAATGAGCCTATAGTCCTCTGCTGCTCGGTCTCTCTATGCCATTGCCTTTGTCACCATCTCTGTTGTCACTTCTTTTCTGGTTAGGACCCTCTGCTCTGGAATTCCAATCAGTATTAGGTTACTCATTTTCATGTTTTCTTTCCCACATGAATCTTAGGCTTTCTTCAGTTTTTTTCTGTTTGTTCCCCCCAACCCCGCTTATTCTTCTATTTTGGTAGTATTGAGAGATTTATCTTCAAGTTTGCTGATTCTGGCTTCCATCCCTTCAGTTCTACTCCTTTGTCCTTTCAGTGTATTGTCAGTTTCTGATATTTTAGCATTAATTGTCTAGACCTTTATTTTACAAGTTTTGTATTGTCTCCAAGCTGTATTTATTTTGTTTGATTGTTCCTGTAGTGCTTTTCTGACTTTCTCCTTATTTTCCTCTAGCTTTCTGTGGAACATTTGGATGCACCTCAATAGCATTCTCCTAAATTCCCTTTCAGACAATTCCAAAGTCTCTTCACCCTCCAATGGCATGCCTAGCTCTTCTTCTTGGTCATTTGTTTGAGGTACTCTGTCTTGTTTCTGCATGTGAGCAGAAATTTTCTGCTGATTTTTAGGTATTGTGGTGTTGAATTTGTATTAATTAGATGAATGTATGGCCCTGTATTTTAAGCACACCCCAATTGCCTCCTGGTAGGTGTGATCAGGAGATGGGCTTCTTTATTCACTGCTTTTAAAGCTCACTTCAGAGTATTTTTATCAGGTGTTGGATGTAGATGTTGCTCTGGGTATAGCAGCTGGTATTGGTTCTTGCCCTGTTGGTGGGTTTTTACAGGGTGCATTTGCTCTTTAGCTTTATGGCTGCAGTTGCTGTCTCTTGTCAGGTGAGGCATGAAGAGAAAGCTATCCCACAAAATAGGAGGGCCAAAAATAAAGACTACAAACCAAAGTCAAACATCATAAATTTCTGGTGTGTGTGTGTGTGTGTGTTATATACAGGAAGCTGGAAAACCCAAACAAAAACAAAGAGAAAAAAAAAAATCACAGGAAAATATGAGTACTTTTTTAGCACCACCTAGCATAATGGTTACGAATTGGGCTGCTAATCTCAAGGTCAGCAGTTTGAAACTACCAGTCATTCTGCGGGAGAAAGATGAGGTGTTCTGCTTCTGTAAAGATTAAACCACCTCGAAAACCCTGTACATGGTCGCTATGAGTCAGAACCGACTCCAAGGCACACCACCACCAATGGACTCATACCTTCAAAGCTGGCTGGGAAATTCCATGATGCTCCTGCCGTGTCAATGTGATATGACCCAGGCCTTCCTTCTCCTCCTCTCTTCAAGTCCACTGAGCTGTCTCCTAGTGAGAACCAGCCCAGGGCTGGCCAAATCTGCTTTGGAATAGACTCCTGGATCAGTTTCTTTCGTCTGCCTCCTTCTGCACCCAGTGATCTGCAAGGTGCAGATCCTTTCTCTATGCTGCGCAGAACAGTGCCAATCCTTTCTCTTGTCGCAAAACCTGGCGTGCAGCATACGACCATCTCTGGAGGTATCTACTCATGCAAGTCTCCCCTCTGGTCACCAGCACAGAGATGAGTAGATGGAGCAAAAGAAAAGGCATGCTAAGGGGAATAAAAATCACTAACACCTCTATTTCTGCTGGTTTCTGCACTGAGAGTGCTCTCTCGTCCCTGTCTCTGCTCACTTTGTTCAAAATGGCTGCAGTGGAACATGCTGGCCTCACCAAACCAGAAATCCCCCTGGAACAATTTAGAAATAAATATCTTTTTACGTATTAGTAAGGCTATAGATTCCACTGCTTTATTAGAGACTCAAAATAATAATGTGTTAAATAATATGTTGTTATGTGACATTGAGTTGGTTCTGACCCATAGTGACATTGTATAGGGTTCTAAAGGAATGGTTGATGAGCTTGAACTACTGACCTTGTGGTCCAAACCGACTTTGAAGTCCAGTGCATTAGTCTGCAGCACCATATCAGGACCCCCTAAACAAAACAGAAGTCAATAAAAGTCTCTACTCTTAACAGTGATATCATGTGAGGAGGTAGACAAACAAATAAACAGGAATACACTAATTGAGCTAAAGAAATAGTATTTAGCTACTAAAATAATGATGTAGGTGGCATATTTCTATTGCAGCTGGAGAAGCTGCAGGTGCTGGAACATTTCAGGACATTTTGTTAAGGACATTTCAGAAACAGTAAACAAACATTTGTCTGAAAGTAAGGCTAAGTAAGAGCATGTTTACTGAACATACAGTGAGGGAAGGTGAGAACATTCACTGGGAGAAGGAGAAGGAAATAATACTTGAGAAATAGGTTGGGCTCTGAAACTTAGATTGTAAAGGATCTTGAGATTTTAATTTTCTTCTGTAGGCAACAAAATACCACTGATGCTTTTATTTTATTCATTTAATCAGATACATGCATTATTTTCCTTAACTTTATTTTTGCATTAAGCCAATGTCTGTCATTACAGTCAACTACACAAGTTTGTAGTTCAATTTAGACTCTAACTTCTTTGAATCAGCCACTTTTTCTGACTGCTTTCATGAAGTCTTCCTGTTCAACAAAATGTTGATCAGCACAAATTGCAAACATACCTGCTTCAGTGCAAACATTTCTCAGGTCTGAAAAGCCATCTGAAAGCTTCATAACTACTTCATAAACTATTTTACCATGCTATATAATAGGACCTGAATGGATTTTCAATATATCTAATCTTGCTGGCTCATTTGGTAAATCAATATGTAGTTTTCTATCCAATCTTTCTGAGTGAAGCAAAACAGGATCCAGGGTATCTGGCTGTTTGTACCCATAATCATTTGAACTCTCTGTACAGTACCAAACCCATCTATTTAGTTTAGTGATTCCATTAAAGTTCTCTGAATCTATCAGCTGAAGTACCCTTGGAAAAATGACAACCAAAAAGGAGCTCTGGTAGCATAGTGGTTAAGAATTGGGCTGTGAACAGCAAGGTCAGCAGTTCGAAACTACCAGCTGCTCCTTGGGAGGATGAGGCTTTCTGCTCCTGTAAAGATTTACAGCCTCGGAAACCCTGTTCAGGGTCACTATAGGTCGGAACCAACTTGACGGCACTTAACAACAACCAACAGTATCTATCTCATCCATAAAAATGATGCATGGCTGATGGTCCCTGGAATAATTAAATAGTGCTGTGATCAAGCAAGTACTTTCACCAATGTACTTGTCTAGATTGTCTAGATACAATTGCAGTCCAGCTGGCTAGCAACAGCTCGTTCCAAGAGTGTTTTTCTTGTACTCACTCAGGCCTTGACCACACCATTTCCCCCAAGGTTATCAGACAGACTTTGCTTGGTGTGCTCTCATGTGCTGTTAACTGCCATCTACTCAATCCTGACTCACGCTGACACTGTATAGGGTTTCCAAGGAGCAGTTGGTGGGTTTGAACCAAAACCTTGCAGTTAGTAATCCAGAGCTGATCCTACAGCACCACACCAGGATTCCTCATACAGAGTTGGCTAAAGTTTTACTCTGTAGTTTAACTATTTCTGTTGAGTTTAGACACAAGTCACCTGGCTTTCACTGCTCCAGTCCTCTAGGTATTCTCAATCTGACCCAATATAATCCTGAATAATCTAAACACTTAATTCTGTAAGATTTACTGACATAAATTTTCAACATGGCATATGATTACTTCCAAATTCTATAGATGAGTATGTGTTAAATTATCCAAACTTAGAACTGTAGTAACTATAATGAGAAAAGAAAAATGGATTAGAAGATAAAGACTATTTATTTAGCGTTTACCACATATATTGTTGTTAAGTGGCACTGAGTCAGTTCTGACTCATAGCAACCCTATCAAGAGTTTCTGAGGAACAGCTGGTGAGTTTGAACTGCCGACTTTGTAGTTCAAACTGACTTTGTTGAGGTCTAGTGCTTAGCCTACAGAGCCACACCACATATATTAGGTACTTTATAAATATATAGTTTTATTTCCTATTGGCTAACAACTTCGTGAGCTATCAATATCTCCATTTTATACTGAAAGGAATGAAGACTCAGGATATTTAGGTGGTTGGCTAGTGGTCATTCACAGGTGAGGTGCAGAGGCAGGGTCTGAAGCCACAATACTGTGAATGCGCATCAATGTGAAGAGTTGAGAACTGTGGAATTATTCCACTTCATAGACATGATTCTGAGTGACATCTTAACTGTATCCTCAGCTTGTACACAGGAATGGCTCATTAAGGGAGTTCTCAGTCAATACCACATACACAATCTAGGGTTGACTGGGGCACCGTAGGAAACACTCACACACACCCGGTATTAGAAATGATCTCCAAAAATCAGATCACAGCTCAAAAAGAGAATGAAGTGTTAGCTTTTATTATTCACTAGAAATGTACTTTCTATAATATTAGTAAACTTCAACTTGAGTTCTGTTTTGAAGTGCTGATACCACTGAAGCAACATTTTTCTTCTTTGAATTTTTTCTTGTAAAAGTATGGTCTTTTCTTTTTCTAAAACAGCAGGCAGTTCCTTCCAGTTCTTAATAAAGATGAAGGGAGCGCCCATGGTCTTGAGTAACTGTAGAGGAGCACTGTGGCACACAGATGAATTTCCACAAACGCCAGGGGTCATCACATCCTCCACAACAGGGATGGAACCATAGGAGCAAGCCTCGTATATTCTGTAGCACTCTGTGTTTACTCCTACTGGGCACAGAGTGAGATCACTCTGAAGCAAAGCATCCTGATAATTCTTAAGGCTTTCATTTGTCTCCTGAGGCTGCCACCTAGAAAATCAGAACCACTGCTTTAGTTTCTACTTCACTAAGCCGAGATTTTATCTTTTCGTGTCCATTACAGGGAATGATAAATACAGAAATGACAGAGCAGAGGAAGAACTAGTCTTGCTCCAACAGGCCTCTTGAAAATATTTAAGAATCCTAAATTTGAAAAATTTACAGCTTTGTTTTTAAAATCTAGTGTCACCATAAAATGTGTCAATGAATAATATTAATTCCACCCATATTTTCTGAATGCTAGGTACTCTCCCCACCCTGCCATCCTCCAAATCCCTGCCCCACATAGAATTTATGTTGTGGTTCCAGTGATGGAGACAAGCAGCCTGAGCCACATCAGTTGTATTATTTAGAAAGTTATTAGTGATGGGAGGAAAAGTATAGCAGAGAAATGTGGAAGGAGTTGCTGAGGGGATAGGTGATCTGGAATGTCTCATCCTGGGGGCATGTGAGCACTGAGTTGGAGGTGTGGGAACAAATCCTGCACATATTTGGGGATAAGACCCAGTGTGGTACAGCTAGATGATTATGAGACAGCTGAAGGCTCTTGTTCCTTGGCAAGCTCAACAACAGCTGAAGCAAGGTGACTGAAGAGGAAAGATGGGAATCACATACTTGAGACCAAATGGTGAGCCATTCCTTTAAAACAAAGGTAAGAATGTTAAGGAGGCAGGGAAACTAGATGAATGGAAACAGGACAACAGAACAGAAGAATGAGAATGGTCACACATTGTAAACAATGCAACAAATGTCACTGAACAACTTGTGCCAAATTTGTTGAATGGGAACTTAACCTGCTATGTAAACCTTCACCCTAATCACAATATAATATTAACTATGAAAAAACAAGATGCTAAACCTAGCCCCAAACCTAATCCTATCTGGAAACATTCTTAATACTTGCCCTATCTTTAACCCTAAAGCTAACTTTTACCCTAACCCAAACCAAACCCAGTCCTAAATCTGATCCTAACATTAACTGTAACTCCAGCCTTAATACTAATCCTTTCACTAACCCTGGAATCCTGGTGTGGTGCTACAGAATAAGCACTTGACTGTGAACCACAGGTCAGCAGTTCAAACCTACCAAATGCTTCTCATAAACCTTATCCAGGGTTGTTATCAGATGAGTGAGAACAGACTTGGTGGCACTTAACACCACCAACATCACTACCCCTAGTGTTAACCCCAAATCTAACCCTAACCTGATGGCTAAAGCTAACATTAATTCTAACCTTAACTTCATACTGCTTACCAAACCCAGTTCTAAATTTAACTCTAGCTTTAATCATAACAGTAACCCTACTGTAAACTCTACACCTAACTTAATTCTAACACTTAAAATATATATATATATATATGTAAAAGATGTGGTTAGAGTGGACAGAAGGAGCCTTATCATGTAGAGTTTTGATCAAAGGCGTGACACGACCTAATTAATCTGTATTTTATTAGGGATCCCTGGGTGATGCATACAGTGAAGGTGCTTGGTTGCTAACTGAAAGCTTCAAGGCTTGAGTCCACCCAGAGGCACGTTGGAAGAAAGACCTAGTGGTCTACTTCTGAAAAATGGAGTCATTGGAAATCCTGGAACACAATTCTTCTCTGTTACACTCGGGTTATCAGGAGGCAGAACTGACTCAGTGACAACGGGCTTATATGCTATCAGAAACAATGTGATTGTTTTGTTGAGAATAGACAGGAGTAAGGACAGAGGCTTAGAGACCAGGCAGAATGTCAGATGTTCTCTCCTGACTTTTCTTATTCTCAGTGAAATAAGAAACAGAGTCATAAGTATGAAAAGTTGGTGGAGGAGGTGTTAAGAGTTTGAGGGGAGACAAGAAGGCATGAAACACTCTTCCAGGGGGAGTGGGAGATTACATGAACTAGGAAAACATATGATTCCTGGACACCTGAAGATCAAGGTCATGTATTTAAAGCGTGATCGATTAGCACCTTTCTTTCTCCAACCAAGTTCAGCTGACTGGATGCAGGTATGAAGCCAGTGGAGAGCTAGATTCAGCCAGAGTTGGGTTTGTTGGATTAGGGAGCTAGGGAGCTGAAGATATATGCAGTCTTGACTGACTATGAAATGTAAGTGGGGTCAGGAAGAAAGTGAAGACATGAGAGGAGCAAAGGGCAACAGAATGCTGGTAGGAAAAATGGGCTGGAAGTCCCAGCTTGATTATTGGCGTTCGATTATTACAGGAATGGGCCTGAATGACAGCAATGGAGGTTAGAAAGATCATGAAGAGGCTGTAGTTATGTGTAATCACACAGTTTAGGAAATGACCATGAAAGTGAACGGCGGAGGTCAGTTGGAGGCCGTTATCATGGGCGCAGAGGTGGCAGAGGAAGTGTAAAACCAAGGTGGTGGAGGGGTCATCTATGGAGATTTGGATTTCACCACAAATTAAGATTGGAGAGGTATTAGAGAGAGTGAGAGTGTGCTAGGACTTAAATACTTCAAAGAATTAAGGATCCGTAAAGGACTTCAAAAAGGAAGAATACATAGTTTTCTCACTCGCATAAGATTAAAACTGGGGGTAATAGGGAGGACATGCAGCAACGCAAAACATGGATACCTACTCCACCTCCAGGCTCAATGAGAAGAGTTCCTAGAATAATTCCATTCCCATAATAACTTTTTACACTGTCTTTATTTACTCCAGGGATACTGGTCCTATGTTCCGCAAGCATGATTTTGCCTTAGGGTCTTTGCATTTGCTATTCCCTCTGCCTGGAACACTAACTGAAATAAATTCGTGGCTCATGCTTATGCCTTAAGATCTTAAATGCACCTTTTCACTAATGGTTTCCTTGGTCATTCTAAAACAGCAATCACACCCCAATTCTCAGCCATCTCTGCTTAGCTTTTTCCCATTGTATTTATCGCCTTCTGACAATATATTTTATTTGTTTGTTTTCTTGAACAATCATTTGAAGGCCATCAGGGCATGGACTTTTGACAGTTTTGGTCATTGTGGTATCCCTAATGGCTACAACGGTTTCTGGCATACCGTACTGCTTGAGAAAACATTGTTGGCTGGATGTATATAGGGTGGTTACATTAACAATAGAGTTTGGAGTTATTCGTTCTACAAGAGCGCATCTGCTACAACTGAAAAAAATCTACATCTGGAAAGTTATTTATTGATGACTCTGATGACTTCTCTGATGACGCTGCTGTACATTTACAAAAGTCTACCTGCTAATCTATTTTATATCTCAAGCGAGTAAAGTTTTGCTAAAGGTAATACAGAAACGGCTACAATCATACATTGACAGAGAACTTCCAAAGGATCAAGCTGGATTCAGAAGAGGCCGCGGAACGAGAGATATCATTGCTGATGTCCGATGGATCTTGGCTGAAAGCAGAGAATTCCAGAAGGATGTTTACCTATGCTTTATTGACTATGCGAAGGCTTTCGATTGTGTGGATCATGACAAGCTATGGACAACATTGGGAAGTATGAGTATTCCAGAACACTTAATTGTACTTCTGAGAAATCTGTACCTGGACCAAGAAGCAGTTGTTCGAGCAGAGCATGAGAACACTGAATGTTTTAAAATTGGGAAAGGTGTGTGACAAGGTTGTGTTCTTTCACCATACTTATTCAACCTGTATGCTGAGCAAATAATATGAGAAGCTGGGTTCTATGAAGAAAAACGTGGC